TGCCTGTTAAATCACGCTCTCTCGCGTGGGTATTCATTCTCGCCGCGTGCGAACCATCTGTGCTCTCTGCACATACGCTCACTCTCGACACTACCTCATACAATACAGTGTCATGGTCGAGGATTCCTTAACAGTTGTTTTCCCTCTTGGCTAGCCAGATAATCACTGAAATGGAGTAAAAAATTTCCTGTCCTGGATTCCTCAAATTCGTTTTACATGATGATTTAGGCTATCCACATATATGGCACCTCTATAGCTGTACTCAGCAATGGCATCTTTTACGGAGTGAAACCGTGGGGATTTTTATCACTCTGCGCGTTCATAGGAATGTATGGAGTTACCACTGCTCTTCTAACCCTTCATTTCGTCTACAGATACATTGTCGTTTGCAGGTCAGTGTTGTGTATAGTTAGTAGAACAACATGGAAAATCAGTGTTTCGTGCCATCTCATATTTCTGTTGCGCTCTCACAACAATTTTTCCAGGGCACATTTGATCCGTTTATTCCACGAAACGACCTCCGTTGCTGTCGTGACTTTCTCTGTTCTTTGCTGGGGTTTTCATATGGCTTTATAACATTCATTTGTTTTGGTGCCAGTGAACACTACTACAAATATGCCAATGCGTCGATTTATACAAAGTACGGGGTAGATGCCAACGAATTGTCCTTTTTCTGCGTCTTCACCCACGTAGGTTTCGAATGGTCTCAAGTATTGTAGAACATCGGTTACACAAAGTATAGTAATTGTGAAGTGTTTTTCAGGAAGTACCAAGGACGGGTGCCCCAGCTCACAACAATACACTGGTCATCTACGATAGGCCTGGGCATGATCTTTATAATGATGATAAGCACATTTGCCCTCATGATAGTCTGCGGCTTCCGAATGTATCTAACACTGAAGAAATCTTCTTTGAGCCAAAAGTCAATGAAGATGCAGACTCAGCTGTTGAAAGCGTTGGTTGTACAGGTACACATACTCAAAAAACATTTGCTCAAAATATGACCTTTTTCGAAATTAAAAAAAAATTGCATTTAGGCAGTCATTCCATTTTTCACTTCATATTTGTCTCGAATTGCGATGTATACCAGCGTCGTTATAGGACTTCGCCCACTTCCGTAAGTGATTTTTGTTTGATTTTTTAACAGCGAGAAATATTGTTGTACGAATAATGGTTGTCGATAAATGGTAGCTATTGCCAGCAATTTTCTATGAGTTCTGGAATCCTTGTTGGTGCTTCAATAATGTGGAACACAACGTGCGAAAACTGCTTTAACGGCTCCGATTTTGGAAATAGGAATCATGAATAGTCTAGTCACTGACAACATGTTGCAGTTCCCGGCATGCGGGTCCAGCGCCATCTATAAGTGGGAACTGACCGGAAAATATCTCTTGAACTAGCTCAAAAAGCAGCTTATTTCATGACAAATTCAAGCATTTATGTTGAATATGAAGGGAACTGCTGCTGTTTTATGCTTTTTTTGTGATGACTAATGTATAGAAGTGGTTTATTATCTTTGTACGGTGCAAAATCCTTACTTCCTTCAAATTTTGATCGAAGTTCAGTTTTCATATTTTCTTTTGCTTTCATTATCAGTATTTCACCGGAACCTGACCTTAGTAGTCCTACTTTTTGCAATGAAGAAAACGATGGTATATCAAGGGCGGAAGTGGTGTAGTGACAAGTGGCGCGCTTACCACGCGAGCGGTCCGGGGATCAAATCCTGGGTCGTGAGTCGCCCGGGCCAACCAAGCCTTCCATCCCTCCGGGGTCGGTTAATTGGTACCAGACTTGTCTGGGAGGATAAAAACACTGACTTGTACATCGGCTGCCCCCGCAAGTCATTGTATAGGCCACATCGCATTCAAACGCCACTGCGAATGTACAAATGGAAGTAGAATGCGTGCCGCATCCCAAAAAGGGATTGATCAACGGCAAATGCTTTATCCTTATTTTTTATCCTTTAATCACAAATTCTGGTATACAGTTGATGAGCCCTCAGTTCACCATCAGTGACAGATGAAGCATTTGCCGTTGATGGCTCCCTTTTTGGGGTACATTTGGCTCCCTTTTGGGGTACGCATTTTACTTCCAGTTGTAAATTCATAGTGGTTCAATGCGATTCACAGCCGATACAACGCTTGCAGGGCCAGCCGACGTATGAGCAAGTGTTTCTGTCCTCTCAGGCGAATGTGGTACCAAACCAACTCCGGAGGGATGGAATGCTAGCTTGGCTTGGACGACGCACGGCCCATGGCTCGAACCCTCGAGCCACGCCACTATGTGCCACAATACCACCTTCGCAACGTCTGATGCCTTAATAAAAAACGCAACTACAGCAATTTGGCGGAAGCATGCAAGCATGAAGACGATCATGAATGATTAGAATTTTTCAGGATATACTCGTTTACTCCACTGATAGTGACTATTTACACCGTATTGGATCCCATTGCGATCATGTTTTTTGTATGCGACTATCCGCACCTAACTGACAATCTGAGGAAGAACTTGGGAGTCTGTAGGTGCTTTGGAGTGGGACAGCAAGTCAAGGTTACGATGACGAAAAACCCACCCTCACCAACAATTTCGGCAACCAAGGATAATTCGAAAGGTAAGAATACTCACCGCTGTGTTTCTAATCAGGTCTGCTGTTAATGTTATGCTGACAATGATGTACTTTATTGTGTCCGTTGTTACCAGTCAATTCATCGAGTGTTTCTACAATTTTCTTTCTTTGTATGATAAATAGTGCTTTATTATGCACTCTCCCTTGTTACGCCCCAATTGATTGGCAGTTTGTCACGCATTCTTTTTTATAATTGTTCTCTTCTACTTTCTCTGCTAGGCTCGAGAGAAGTTTCGTTGAACTCCAATTTCTTAAGCCCTGCTTCAAATCTATGTGTTCATTCCATACGTCTTTGAGAGCACTGCTATGTGGCCTCTAACGGAACTTTGAACAAGCGAAATAAATATTTTTGCCCACGTATTTAGCCGAATTTTTACTGTTGGAAAATGTAAAAAAGAATTGATGACATGATCACTTGGATTGAAAAGAAATGCACAAGGAGCTTACATGATCTGCTATTTTCTTATTTTCAGAAACCTTTTTCACTTTGCCGAAATGTTAATGGCTATCCGCAAAGAACAAATGCCACCATATCATTGTCATGGCCAACCATCGTTGGAGGGAACATTTCCCTCCAGCTTATGACTAACCAGCTTAACGGTGAAACTCCAGTTCGGGGGGCCACTCCATTTTTTCTCCAATACTCAAGATAAGGATTAGAGGGCTCACGACACGTAATCGACTCATTTAAAGTAGACTTCTGATAAATATTGGTGTAATGGGTGAGAAACCCTGAAACGTTTTCACATTTCCGCCTGCCATGACCCAAGGGAACGGTCCTGGACCAGGAGAAAGGACACCTCCGCAAAGGGCTAAGGGTGCAGGAGCTCCAGGGTGGATCACCTGTGCAGAAAAGTGGATGGGATGTGGGCAGGTAGTGTGGAATGTAGGACATCCACCGGTCCTTATCAAAAGTACGCTCGAAATGAGTCGTTCACTTATTATCTTATCCGTAGTGTTCGATAGCCCAAAGAACTGCTCTCTAGTACTACGGATAAGATAGCAATGGAGTGGCCCCCCCCCCGAACTGGAGTTTCACCCAGCTTAACATTATACCAATCGCAGTGATCTTCGAGTTGCAACAATTTCTTGTCACAGCTCCAGGAAGCATTTACCAGCCCTCTCTTCGTGCTGTCTCATTAATAAAAGAAAGTTGGAAAGCCCCATAGACGTCAAAAAGTGCTATGGTTTCCAAAATGAAACACTTGATGAGACAGTAGAGAGAGAGGGTGTACCTAAGGAAGACGACTCTTTATTGGAAAAATTATTACCTCAACATGTAACAAGCGTGAGGAAACTGTCAACGTTTTTTGAAGCCCGAATCGTGCTAATTACGTTTTTTTTTTTTGATCCAGAGAACGAAAAAGTTTTAAGGAGAGCTTAGACCGGACACCGCAAGATTCGACTTCATAATCAGGGTACGGCAGCGGACCAATTCGCCACTGAGTCAGCTTACCCAATCATGACAATGGCTGCCACCGGTGGCTGCCGTGTTTCAAATGGAATTTGGAAAGTTTTCTTTCCTGAAAAGAATCTTCATACCCTCATTCATCTACGCCAGCCCTGGGCAGGGAAATCTCCATCCACTCAAATTTTATTGAAGAAAAATCCTGACTCTCCTGCTATTGCGCAATCCCGCGCGGTCGCGAATGGGTTAAAGGCATGCCCCAGGATCACATTGGTGTGGCTCTTGCACACGAATGCGAATGTATTGGTGCGAAATGGGCCGGCAGTAAAGAAAAAAGGAAAAGAATCCGTCGAAAACGCTCAGGTTAAGGGCTCACTCACCTTCCTAATCGGCTGTGCTAAGGGAATGAGAGACTAAGCGCGGAGAGGAGAGTATGAGGCGAGAGAGCGCAACAGATGAGAGAACTTAGAGGTGGCCTGATGCAAAAAAAGAAGAAAATAAGTGAGAAAAATGGTCTGAAATTCAGGAAATGGGACCTGTTAATTTTCGCACTGATGCGACTTTTTCGGTGCTGCCCTCTCCACGCTAGCAAAATCTCTGCCGAAGGGCTAAAGACTAATTGTAAGGCAAGAGAACACGCGGGAGGTGGGCTACCGGGCCAACTGGTCCGCGGAGAAGGCCGTGCCAGATCGCCGGGGCATTTCCATCGATGCAAATTGCGTGTCGGTCCTGCATTATTGTTAAGTTGTTAAGTCTCTCCCCTTTGTGGATTTTACCTTCTTCGGCCTTCGTCCTGATAGTGGTGTCTCTTAAGTCATAGTAATGCTTCATCCTTACCAGAAAGTTTTCACATCTGTGTTTCTTTGCGAACCTCGTGAAACAGATTTGAGTAGAATTTGCCTTAAAAATTTTCCTTCAAAAATTTGATGAATTTATTTGTAATATGAAATTTATGGTCGTTTCAGTGCTGTTTCTATGAAGCGTCTCTACATTTTCTCATATTTTATATATTGGGTCATCCCATAAGGGATGAGTCTTTTGCCACAACGTTAATTTCGATTATTATAACTTTTCTACATTTTACTCCACCATCTTTAGCAACACATCTTCAGCAAGCCGAGCACATCTACCGCTACGAGCCTAATTTTCAGTTTGAGGCTTCCGGAACGAGATTCCGAACCAACCGTTTGCATCGACTAGCACTTACTTCTCTATCCTTATGACTCGTCACTACATACTTTGTCAGTCTCCTTGGCACTGTTTCCTGTCTCAAACAAACTCAAAAAAATGTGCCAAAAATAATTTTTTTGCCCTTTCCACTTGGTACCAATAGATTTGAAAAGTTTGTGATAGCTAGAACTTAAATTTTCACGAAGAGAGTAGCAGCTTATCTCATAAATCATGCAGTAAGTGAAAATGGATGGAGGTGTTTTATATTTATATTTATAGCTATTGTACAATGTTGGTAAAACAAATCAATACGTGAATAAAAGCTAGCTTACAATAGGCATATGACAGCAAATTTAGACAGGAACAAATAATAATAGGATAATCAGGATAAGAAAATACAATATAAAAAAGGGGGAGGGGGTGATGGCCTTAAAAAAGGAGGCGAAGGGCAATGGCCGGCCAACATTGCAAGCCGCGGGCGCAGGACGGCTCCGGATACCAACTTAGTAGGTCCGCCAACTCCTCCTATGGCCAAGGGATGGGAGATTTAGCCAGATATGAAGACACAAGGCACTGCGAGGCATACAAATCGCAACTCTACGAAAGGAAGTGAAGAAATCAGTGAGATAGAGAGGATCATTAGAATATAAGTTAGAAATAGATAACCAACGTTAGTTACAATACAGGGCCGGAAATTGCCAGGCTGCCCAATGAGTAGTATTAGCTCAGCAAAGAGGGCTCAAAATATGCAAAACCCACTTCG